TACCATCTTCGGACAGAGTGCCTTGTCTGACAGGTTGAATAACTGGGAGCTCTTGTGTCTGGGAGCGTGTGTGTGTGTGAATGGCTTCTGCATATGTGACAAGCAGGACACCATTAGATCACTTCAACTTCAGGAGTCACCACAGGGAATCCTGTTTTGTACGTGTGGGAGACCAACTTTAGTGTCTCTGCTTTGCCCTCTGTGCTATTTTAATTCCTACCTCCATCACTGCCCGCTCCCTGACCCACCTGATTCCCTAACCATGGATTCCATCCCTCTTGCTATTTTTAAGGGCAGAGGCTCTGAGAAAAAAAGGGACAGGTAGGGGAAGTGGCAAAGTCTGTCACTCATATACACAAACACATGTGCAATGTCATGTCTGTCCATATATTTAGCAGCACCTATGTTTGCATAAATCTGGCATCAACAGGAGAAAGCGCTTGCAAGTATTCATATGCAGGCTACACATTCCTCCACACTCAAGAGCTCATCCTCATTGCTGTATCTATCACAAGGGCAGACAGTTTTTGTATACAATCACCTTTTTTTTGTTTGAGATGGAGTCTCGCTCTGTCGTCCGGGCTAAAGTGCAGTTGTGCAATCATAGCTCACTGCAGCCTCAAACTGGGCTCAATTGTCCTGTGGCCCCAGTCTCCCAAGCAGCTGAAACAATGGGCACATGCCACCATGCCTGACTGACTTAAATTTTTTTTTTTTGTAGATATGAGGGATGAGGTCTTACTATGTTGCCCAGGCTGGTCTCGAACTTCTGGGCTCAAGTGATCCTCCTGCCTCAGTTTCCAAAAGTGTTGGGATTATAGGTGTGAGTTACCATGCTCAGCGGGCCAGGGCCCTGGGTTTTAATAGCAGCTGGATAGAGGAGGCTGCTCATCCTGTTCCTCTGACCCCTACTACTAGTGAGGGGTGATGGGAGGGAAGACAGTCACTTTGCCATTCTTTTTATTTTTAATTTATCACTTTGTAGGTTTTTATTTTTGTTTTTGAGACAGGGTCTCACTGTGTTGCCCAGGATGACATAGTTGGCTCACTGCAATCTCTGCCTCTTGGGCTTAAGCAATCCTCCTACCTCAGCCTACAGAGTAGTTGGGACTATAGGCATGTGCCACCACGCCTGGCTAATTTTTGTATTTTTTGTAGAGACAAGGTGTTACTGTATTGCCCAGGCTGGTCTTGAACTCCTGGGCTCAAGCAGTTTTCCTGCCTTGGCCTCTCAAAGTGCTGGGATTACAGGTGTGAGCCACTGTGCCTGGCCCAATTTGTGATTTGATTTGTTTAAAGTCAAGCGTGAGATATAATTTTTTTATACATACAGTGTAGTTCAGTTCGGGTTCCCAGGGCCCTTGCATCATTAGTTTATTCCACATTCACTGATGGCCACCTGTGCCAAGACCCTGCCCTCAGCACACTCATACATGGTAGGGAAGACGGCCATGGAAACAGACCAGGAAGGTTCAGCGTGGTAAGGCCAGAGAT